TTTTGAGTTAATCCTAAGACTATAGATTATTTAATATCTTTAACAATCAGAAAATGTAACCTTACTTGGATGAACCATAAACTAAGGATGAGAGATCAGATGAAAAATAATATTAGTGAACAATTGCTTTAACTTGGGAAGTAATAGAAATCTATTCTACCTTCTCATCATAACACAGATACTAAACAAACACAATAAAGAATGGCAAAGAAAAGGAATTCTATCAGATCGAAATTCGAAAGAAAAGAAACAGATTAAGGTGATACCATAAGACACAGATAAAATCAATATAAAAGATTGTTTACGGAAAGGGATGATAATGTTGAAAAAAGACCTAAATTCTAGGCATTTAATAATTAATTAATTGCATCTCAATAATACAAAAAAAGTTCGTTAGGGCCACTGCCGATTAAGAGAAAGTAGAGCATCTAAGATTATATAATACACAATGAAAAGGCATAAGAAATTCAATATAATAAGTCGAATAAATTAGATGAATTATCTTTTGATTTGGAAAATTCAAAAAGCCAACGTTCTATTAAGAATAGCAATATTAAACCTAACTCTGATTATAATTAAAAAGATTAAGAAATTAATTAGAATTAAGACAATATTAAAAAGTAATTAGCCAATAAAATGTACAATAAGATATTTGATAAAGATAATTCTGAAGATGAAAATAATTTAACAAATTAATATTTAGAAGAAGAAATCTTGAGAAATAATTAAAGATTTACTGATAAATAAGTTTATCATTTTCCATAATAAGAGTTTAAACCAATTGAATAAAGTATGATGATCTAGTTTGAGAAGATTAAATAGAAAGAGGAATTGATACTACAGTAGAGAGATAGACAATAAACAGTCCTTACAAATACTAAAGAAAGTAAGGAGCTTCAAGCTTAAAATATTCAAAGAGCATTAGTGATTAAAGTAACTTCTGATGATTCTTCAGATGAAGATATTAATGGATAAAAACTAATCAGAGGATAGTATCTTGAATTATTTAAAGATTTTGAGATAATAAAGGAATTTAAATGTTATTACCCACACAATAATATTTCCCAAGTTATGCTTTAGGTATTATTTTATAATCGACTTTAGCTATCTAAAAACGAACTTTATTTAAAACATAATTTTATGAAGAAAAAAAAAATTAAAAAATAAGACACAATAATGAATTTACTTAAGCAAACATAACATCTAATGAGAAAAAGCTAACAATAATGATTGTATAATGAAATAATTTTAGAAATATCGAAGAATAATAGATATTCTCTTATCATAAATTTTTATTAATTTTATTATTATTATTCTTACTTTCTATGTTACTAACTCCAATACTTAAGAATGGTTTACTTCAAGATAAATTTCAGTCGTATTTGCTCAATTCTGTATGATCTGTTTTATAATGAGTCTGAATTCTGGTTTGATTAAAATTAATTTAGATATAGTTAAATATTCCAAACCCAATCTTGGCCCTTTTGATTATATTTTATCTTATTCATTTATTTATTTGAATAATTTGAAAATTCAAGTTTGATTCTTTCTACAAATTCTTAGTTTTTTTAATGGATTAATGAGATATTCAACTATAGCTATTTATTTAATTTAAAATTGATTTAAGTTTATTGATGTCTTATATAATTATATAAATTAATCTCAATATTTGTATATAAGATAACATGATTCTAAAAAAGTTCTTAAAAGCGGACTATTATCTTCAAAATTTAACCTACAGAGCCTTTGATAATGAGAATATTGGATTAAACTTTATTAATACAGGAAGAGACCAACCAGAATGTGAATAAATATCATTAATAATTGTTAAAAATATTATTGATTTAAATCAAATTCTTTCATTCCTTGCTTATGATTCCAAATGCAATTCATATTTTAATTTTAATACTCTATTTTTGAATTTATCAACACGCTATTCTACAGACATCTGACCTTAATTTATTAATACAGATTCAAATAATAATTGTTGCACTGAAGATACAACATGTATCAGAGATATCATTCCTATTCTAATCAAATTCTAATCGCTTGTCTCAATTTAATTAATTATATCAATTGCGATTTCCAGGTTCTTTCTGATTATTTCTGTATTTATATTGAATGGGGCTATATTACTATTTTTTGTATAAAATAGAATTTTCAGGTAAGATGTAGCATCTGAAATAAGTTAATCCAAGAAAAAAAAACTAATTTCATGTCCAATTAATTGTTGACACCAACGTTATAATTTAAGTAGAGTAACATCTAAATTATTTTAATTAATATCTTCTTTTAGAATGGGTTCTAGCTATTTAATAATCTTTTATTTTTATGAAACATCACTTTAATTTTCTAAAATATAATGATTGAATTAGTTTTTAAAAATTAACATAATATGCTAAACTTTAATGATAAGCATCGCAATTCCATCTTGAACTAAATAAAACAATTTGTTCTCCATCATCAACTAAAATTAAACTTTAAATTCTTTGTTCTACAATTATCTTTGAACTATATCGATTATTTTTTATCTAGTATTATTTTTCAGTTTTTCAAATTATTCACCATCATTTAAAAATTTTTTTTTTGCCTTATAAAATTCAACGCATTAATTATTATTTTCATACATTTATCTAAAAATACTATAATTACCATCCAATTATCCACGATAGGCCTATTCCCAATATTTGATACAATTCTCTCTTGCATTTTTCTTAATTTTAACCAAAATTAAAGAAAGCCATTTTTCATGTTCTTATAATAACTAGTTTTTATCTTCCATTAATTCGTAAAGTGGGTTAATAGTATCTTTAATAATTTAAGCATCTTTTATAGATCCATCCACAACTAAAAAACCAATTACTTTTTTTGCCTTCTTTAAATAATTGTATAAATTAATTCTGTGAGCAATACGGTTATACTCAGATAAATTATCATCAAACCCAGGACAATCAAAATACCAAACACCATCTATTTCCATACCCGAAATTGCCTAAGTCTCACTCATACACCCATGATCAATCTTAAATTATGTTTTAATCCCTTCTTTAAGGACATAACATTATTCATTTATTTCTTTTTTTATAGTAAGACTTTAAGGGTTTTAAATCAAGTTTATTAGAGTACTCTTTCCTACTCTACTTTTTCCGAATAAGAAGACTCCTGTCTCATAATCCTATTATGGTAGAGTTTAAACATTCTTCCCTATTTGATTCAATTGAAAAAGTTTGTGCACTAAGTTATTTTTGAAATATTTATTCCAAAAATCTACAATAATTGCAAAATTCTAAATTGATACTAGAATAACATTATCATATTCATATTTATGATATTTTGTAAAAAATTCATTAACATCTTTCAATTAATTTATGTCAAATAATTGAGTTTTAATACTGAGATCTTTAAATTCTATATTTTTTATTTTCAAAAATTATTCTAATTAAGGCGATTAATTCAATTTTACCAACTCTTTATTAATAGCATTTCCAAAAGTCATAGTTATTTAATTTATTTTATATATAATTTTCCATAAAACCGACAATTTTGGTTTCAAATATAGATTTAGGATTCCATTAAGCTACTCTAAGTACTTTCCTAAAGATAATTACAATCCATAACACTCATCAATTTTAGGTATTTATTGTAAATTCAACAATTATATCCAAAGCTTTTCTATTTTGTTATTTACTATTTTTAATAATTTTTCTTGTTATCTCATCATATGACAACTCATTTCACCATAATTAACTTCTATGGGATTCTATGAAATCTTAAACTCAAAAAAGGAAACATTTTTGAATATTGTATTTAAGATTAATTCAATTGATAAGAATTATAAATCTATTAAATTCAAAGATTTTAGATCTTTCACAATGATGAGAGAAAATGTGTTTACTTTTTCTTAAAAGATGATTGAGATGTACTATTTTTTTAATTAGATTTTTCCAAATTACAATAATTATTTATCGATAAAATTTTAAAGTATCTCTTATTAATCATTTCCTAATAATTCCTTACCATTTACAACAAGATGAACTTTATATTCATGAAAATTATCCAAAATTTATTCTAAATTAATTTTAGAAGAAAATAGCATTATTTTTTAATCTAAATCTTAATCAAAATCAGTGCATTTCTTTAGAGAGTATGGACTATTTATGAGAAAGCAAGATTGCTAATTTTGTTTTTTGCTTATCAAAATAATCTTGAAAAATGCATTATCTTGGAGGCATTTTTTATCTATAAAGTGGCTATAAAATTAATCAAAAGTGTCATGCTAAAATCCTAAAAATAATATTAATTTTTAGGTTGATTTCTCTTTCTATACTGTATAATCATAGTTAAATTACATAATAAAAACATGTTAGGTTTAATATAAAAATTAAATACTCTAATACAAGGTATTTCATTCAATTAGATTGAAATAATTTATTATGACATTTAATACAAAACATCTTCATCTTCAATTAAGTCATCCTCAATCTATTGCATTTTTCTTAAATTTGTTAATTTTAATATCATTGTACAAAATTTCGTTAAATATAAAATGGATTATTTAATAGTGAGAAAATTCCTAAATCCAACTTTTCAGTCAAATAAGTGAAATATCAAATTTTTCTAACAAAAGTTATTTACTTACAGATATAAAAAATCTTTTACAAAAATCAAGAAGCTTCAAAATGATTAAACAAACTGAATAATTTTGTATTGGATAATATAATACTTTTTTATAAAATGTATCTTTTCTTATTAATACAATTATTATAATTCATTTGAAAAGAACTAGAAGACAATCAGATTATTTTACACATTATAAATATATTTAAAATAATTTTGAAATTTTCATTTCCATAATGGATTTTACTATTCTTTAGAAATAATTGATTAAGCTTTTTGATAAAGCATTTGAGCTTCCTCATTATTATTCATTTCTTTTAATGTATCAGCTTTAAAATTGAAAAAATATTAAAACCTTTTTTTATCATATATTATGGTCTAGGTTGTATCTTTAGTCCTTCGTCAAAAGATTTTACCGCCTCGATTAGTCTTCCTAATTGGTTTAGTGTTTCACCTGAAAAATTAGAATTTTAATTACCCTTATAGACATGAGCTTCATGCATTTAGTTATTAATTTATATAGCCTTTTCAAATTAAGGTAATGCTGCATTATACTTCTATTCCTTAAACAATTCCAATCCTACAGTAATCAATTAAGAATAACCTTTTTTAAAATAGATAACTTCCTCACTTTCAGCTCTTTGAATTGAAGCGTCTGACTTTTGGATAGCTTTTTATCGTTCTTCTAGTTCCCGTAAACATAAGTCTAAAATTTTAAGGTGAGAATTACTTTTTTATTTTAGGGCTTAATCATATTTTGGAGCAATTCTTAGGGCAATTTCAAAGTATTTAATTGCTTAATCATACTTCTCTTTACGCATTAAAGCAAGACCTATAATTTTATAAATGTTAACAACCCATGTGATAATAGCCTAATTCTATATCTGGACGCATTCTAATAGAATTTTCAAAGGATGCAATTGCATCATCAAGCTAATTAATAGCCATTAAGGATATTCCTGATATATGTTAGTTAAGCGTTTACCTTATAAAAAATACGCTTCAAAAATGGGTTCAATTTAAATCGATATGCAATAATTATGTAAAGCTTCTTCATATCTCTTTAATTGATTTAATGCCAAACCTTTTAAAATATACGGTTGATAATTGTTTGGATTCATATCCATGATGAATTCACTCTATTCAAGGGCTTCTATATACTTTTTGGCCTTGATTAATGTTTAACCTAACACAATGAGGATATAATATTTAACCTTTCAACAAATGTTTCTCAAAATTTAGTGGATCATACTCAAGAAATTTATCACACTACTCTAACACCTTTTCTAATTCATCATCATTATAAGTAGCCACTTCAGCCTCCAAAACAAAATTCTTATCTAATGCTCATTTCATATTCTTACTGGAATGTTATGCACTTTAAATAACAGTTTTATACTTTTCCCATTCTTGATCTGTGAGTTTTATTAATGGTTGAGGCATGTTTTAATACCTTAAATTTAAATTAAAATTACTCAGGGTTTTTGCTAATTTCTCTATTGAGTTATTCTTCAAATTTTTATTTTTTCTATTAAGACTGAGAGCTATTACTCTTTTATTAGATTTATCCTTGCTACATGCTTTATTCTATGGTTATAATCGAAGAAAACAATACATAAAAATTAAGGCATCTATTATGAGCTAAATTACATATCATTTGTTGGAATTTAAGGAACTGAAGTTGCAGGAACTTACAAAGATGGTTATTAAGATTTGGAGTTTTATTAAATAGGATTTTAGTTATTTAGTGTTTGGCACGGATTTACTAATTATGATGTTTGGTCTGAATAAAATTCTTAAAGAGTTGATTAATATGAATTGGCTCTAGGCATTTAATCATTGTTGCACAGATTTATTTGTTAATTTCCAAAGGAAACTGGTACTAACTTTTCCTTTGGCTATAGGGATTCTTAAGTTTATTTCTTATTTATTTCATCCTCTTATTTAATGATATTAACTTAAATTTCCTAATCTAATTTGATAAATTAATAAGATTACCTTTCGTTTCAGCCTTTTAAATGTTTTTAGTGTTTTCTGATTATGATGTTATTTAATTAGGTATTTATTGTTATCCTAATGTATTTAAAGTTTATAGAACATTATCCAACTATTCTAATATCAATTCTAATTAATATACTAATATTAGTTTACATTAATTCGATTAATTTGCATCTTGGATATTCTTTAAGAATTTTATATTACCTAAACAACTTTTATATTCCTTTTACTTTAAATACTTTTCTATTTCATCTAGTTTTTCATACCCAATATTTTTTGATTGACTTAATTATTCACATATCTATTATATAGATTTTAATTTATTGTTCACATCATCACTTTGTCCAATTTATTATTGTTTATTATTTTACAATAATTTTTATATTTGTTTGAATGTTTTGCAATCATCCTCATGATCTCCGTGTTTTTCCCAACAACATTTCAAACAGAATTACGTAACTTATTGGCAACTTTTATTTAAACAAAATCCAATTATCTCCTCCTCATCATGTCCATCATAATTACATAAAAAATCAAAATCATCCATTTTATACCTATAAATATATTAATAATTGATTAGATTAAAATATTTTTTTAATTAATTAATTTCAATTAGCAAATGTTGAGTTATGCACTAACTCTTGGGCGCGAGTATTCTAATTTATTTAATTTCAACATAATCCAATTCAAACACTATTAAAATTCTATTAGATCTTTCATTTATAATCTCTATTCTGACTTATCAAAGAAGGTAAATTCATCAAAACAAGTTTTAAGGTTGTTTTGCATCAAAAAATTGAAACATTTTCTAATAAAATTACAAATTAGAATGGCCTGAAAGCTACATATATAATAATAATTGATATTCAAATAATTATATATCCTAAAAATTGAAATCGAATATGATCAAAAGTGTTTTTTGTTCTCAAATTCATGATTCTAATTGAATGCTATTAGATTTTACTTAGAAATGAAAATTTTTATCGATTAATTATAAGGAAGACTTAAAATTAAGAAGCCATTAAATTGAAAATTAATTTATGCATATTGTACATTAGTTGTGGAGTAAAATGTATTTATATCTTGTAAAAATAAAAGAGTTATTTAATTAATTAATTACAAAAATTTCAACACAATAAAAAGCTAAAATGAAAAATTATCAAAATTAACCTACTTATGAATTAGAGAATTCATTTAGCGAAGAGCACTTCACTATAATGGCTTTTCATTAGATTAACAAGATACTGATTACTTCTTCACTGAATTATGCAAAAGCATTTCAATTTAAATAGGGCTCACTCAACACTATTAAATTATTTTAGACTTACAGAAGATACATTACAAATATAATTTTTTCAAGAAGAATTATTAATTTTTTACTAGATGAATAGATTCTTCTATCATAATCTGGTCTTCTAATCTCTTATCCTTACCAAAATACTAACAGAAATTAAAAAGTCATACACACTCCATATTCCGTTTAGCAATACGCCCTAATGATGAAAATCTCTTTTTATCGGCGGTGCAAACTGCATTCTAATGGTCTTGCTAGTAGACAATTAAAGAGGAGACTGGATGGATATACGCATTATGGATAAATTAAGGTGGAAATTAATTAATATGTTGTTCTTTAAATTCATCCATCCTTGTGATTTGCTTAACAAATTTATAACAATGGATTGTAAAACAGAAGATAATTAGCCAAAAATTTGGGTATAGACTTAGTTTCATTCACAATGAAATGTTTGCTATCTAATATTCAAATACATCTCATCTTTCAATTTATGTATTTAATCATGAAAAGGGCTAGTTTCTCAAATAGAAAGAAACTAAGTTTCTAATACGGGTGAAAATTTTGATGGTTTGTTTCCATCAAGATATATTACAAAAAAATCTATTCTAATTTGCAAAAATGGACCTTATCTTAATCTAATAAAGTTTAACTTTGAATCTGCAGACATCTATGAGGCTTAATAAATATAATCAGTATATTTTTAAGATGATTCATTATGAGAAATTTATGGAACATCAAGTGATAATGGAGAATACTTATTTACTTGGGATTATTATTCTTAGAAAATTAAAATAAGGAAATATATCTAAATGTGAAGAATATATTTAAATGATCATAAACACTAAACATTCTTAAAAGTTATATATTTAATTTAATAATATTAATTATTGTTATAATCATTTATAAATTGTTGAAATACTCATCCTTCTTGTAAATTTTTAAATAAAAATTAAATTTCATTTGCAAAATTATTAAAATGATTTTCTAGCTCTGATTTTTTAATTTTCTATATTATGATGTAAAATATTATACATAAAACTTCATTCCATTCAACTTGTAGATTTGATCTTTTGCTTTTTACTTTATTAAGTTCCAAGTAAATTGTTCATCTTGAATGGCCTTTTATGCACATTCATAAAAGGTAACTATACATTTCATCATACCTATTGTTTTTGGAAGAGGACAGTTATCATCGTAATCATTGAATGTATTTTGATATATGAATTGTTCTATAATTATTTGGTTTATCTAATAATCAACTAGAAGTTACTTCCAAAGATAATTGCTATTCATCTAATAAAGGTTTTTCTCCTAATTATATTATTTTAATAAGTTCTAATTCTTTACTCAAAATGTATTATAACTTCTCTTTTAAACGATTAAATTCAGGATTTATGGAACTATAATATGGATCTAATAGTTATTCATATTTAGAATTTGAACTAATCCTGTCGAAAGTAGGAAAATGATTTCTTTAGGATAATCTCTTGTCTAATAACCAAAAGACTTAAGAATTATTAATTGTGCAATTAGTTATAGAGTTGGCCCAGTCCTAATGATTTAAATACATAATTATACTCCTTCTGATTGTGTGGCAATTCCAACCATAGTAATTGATCCAATTCTCTCTGGTGAACCTAAGCATCTCACCCTTCCTGCTCTATTATAAAATTGCCCTATTTTTGCTGTAAGAACTTCGGATTATGTCTCTGATGGTAGTATTTCACCCAATTTCTCTTAAATTTAATTTACAGCCTAAGACCATTGATTTGTTGAATCAACAATAAAAGACACATTTAACCCCATATCCCTAAAATATTCACCAATCGTTATCCCTGTAAAAACCGATATTTCAGTCGTGGGTGTTACCATTTTTGAAGAATTAGAAATCAAACATGTCTTTTATGCTATGGACTCTTAATGATCTTTAATTGGAATTTTTTGGTCATAAAATTCATCAATTACTCTAAAAATATCAAATTCATTTTCTCCACATCCCACATATATATTGCAATTAGAATTTGAATTTTTACTAATCGACTGAGATATAAAAATTTTACCACCGATTGAACTCACTGATGCACAACAAGTACCTCCTTAGACTGATGGATACAGCCCATCAAGTACTCTTATTCCTGTAAGAAGTGGAGTATTACCTTCTAATTTTTCAACTATTGGCCTTTTCTATCTAACAGGCCAAAAATGACTCATCCCATATTTATTTATTATGCCCTCAATTTCCACTTCCAAAATATTATCTTTTAATGTATAATTGCCTTCAGGGGCAATATAGGTAACTCTACCTTGTACTAAAGGATTTACCATTATCTTATGTTCATCAAAAAGATTGTTTTCAAAAACTGACCCATAAATATCGCCACCATAAATCAGTTTACCTTCTTTAAAATTAGATGATGGTTTAAATTCCCAAATTCTATCATGATCTAATGCTGAAATATTCATTTATCCTTAACCATAAAAGAATGATCCATCTTAATTGATTTATAATCTTCGTTAAATTCCATCAAAAACTTATGTAAAAATACCTATATCAATTTAATTTTAAACCTGGCCCTAATTCAATAGAAAATGGAGATCTAGTTCTTATCACAGGATCACCCACACTCAAACCAGCTTATCATTAATATTTTTATTACATGTATCTTCGAAGCATTATATGAATGTAGCACTTTCTTTCAACTTAATAATCTCTCCGAGCAACTTTTCCTAACCTATCCTCACTACCTCATATATTTCTGCATTTGGCATATTCTCCACAGTAATTACTTATAAATTTAAAATTACGACATACATGGTCCATCTATACTGAGAATTGTATGATAATTGCTTTCTTGCTCTTCTATTTCTTATAAGCTAGGTGTAAATTATTATATCATCTATTTATTATAATTTATATTAATGAATGTAAGAATTCATTCAGCAAGCATACAATTTTACTAATAATAATGTTTATAATTAATATTACAACAATTATTAGAAATTCTCTAAGATACAGAATATATGACAAAATCTTTATGAGTTGTACAAATATTTTGAAAAATTCATTAAATAGTAAAAATTACTAAAAATAGGAAAGTTGTCAGCCTCAAAAATTTCAGTATCATTTTAAGCCATAACAATTTTCAATCTAAGTTTTTGTAAGATATATAAACATTTTTCTTATTTAATAAATTGCTAAGCCATAATAATTTTCGCTATTTCTATATTCTATTTTTTATTTAATAGAAATGGAAATTCGATGTACTTAAGCAAATCACTAAAATTTATAGATAATTGGAGCTTGCATAGATCCAGAATGTCAATATCAGAGACCTTACTGTCATTATTGTTAAATTAGTCACTCTTAACATTTTGTTAATACAATACCTTTAGAATTTTTATCCAATTGGATGCAAGAAAAATATGAAGCTTTTCAAGTTATGTAGTACAGCTTTTAAGAATGCAAATCATCACTTTAAACAATAATAGATTTATTTATTCCATTAATCAATATAAATGCCGAAAATTTAGGACTTTCTGAACTTAGTAATAAGATCAAGTGCTTCAGTTAAATCTAAGAATTGGAAATACTGTTTTAAAGTGAACTAAAGCAATCTATGGATTTTATAATATTAATAGCTGATCAAATAAGATAAAACATGAAAAAGGTAGCAACAGAAAAACAACCAATTAATGCTCTAGTTTAAACAAGAAATTTATAAAACACTATATAAATTTAAACGTAACAATATCAAAAAAAAATTTCATTTGAACTAATTGAATAAAATTCGATTTAATAAACTGAAGGGTGTCGCGCAATAGCATTTAATAAAGATGATTCTATTGTTCTAGCTGCGTGTGATTAGCTAATAAAAGTCTATAAACATGATAAAGGGAAGTTGAATTATAATTAAACCTTAAACGAACATAAAGAAAATGTAGTGACTTTGAATTTTATGATGAAATCCGATAGGTTTGTCTCTGGTAGTTTCGATAGCACAATTATAATCTGGTAACAAGTCTAATTTAAATGGGTGAAGCAGCAATAATTAACTGGACACTCAAATTGTATTCTCTGCTTAATAGTGAATAATAAAGAAGATCTTATTATCTCAAGCAGTAAAGATTGCACTATAAAATTTTGGGGAAAATAATATGATTGGATATTACAATAAACCGTAAATGAACATAATAAAAGTATTCATTCAATAAGCTTAAATGAGCAATAAAATCAATTGATTTCTTGTTCTTTAGATAAAAGCCTCTATGTGATGCAATTACGAGAGCTGGATTAGAAGTGGATTGTTAAATAATTTATAGAAGTTAACTAATATGGATATCGAATTTCTTTTATAAATAATAATTAGTTTGTGTATTAACCTTATTGCTCAGAATTTATGCAAGTGTATGATTTGGATCAATCAACTTTATAGTATAAAAAGACTATTGATATTCCAGTAAAGTGTGGTTCACAGCATGATACTAGTTATTTTCAATTATAGTATTTAAAATCAAAAGGAATTCTAATTAATAAAAATGGAAAGTTCATTAATATCTTAAGAAAGTTAGATGATAATAATTAGTTTGTGGTTGAATAGCTCATCCAATTTGATGACCATATTAACTTTGGATAACTAAGTTAAGATGGATGTTATTTAATAAATTGGGATATCGTAAAGAGGAAACTATAAATTAGAAAATATAAAGAATTATGAATTAGATTAAAATTTATGTCAAAATTTTGATTCTAATTAGATTTAATATTATCTGTATTATAAATTTAACTTTGTAAGCTTAGCTTAGAATCTAATTACTTCAAGAAAATCATTAAATATTTTTTATTAAGAACTAAATTTATCTTGATATTAGTATAATGTATTCATTCAACCAAGTTAAATGTTATTCTTTAAAAGTAAATATGTAACCTTCAGAGGAATAAACACTCATCTATCCCTAATCTGGATGATTAAATTGACCTAAGTATATGTTTTCTATAATTTATATTAATTTTAATGCATATTATCTTGTTTTTGAAAATATTTAATATCCTGGGAATCGATATATTATTATCAAGGCACATTTTTTTGTTCAAACAAAGCCAAAGCCATGTAGCATTTTGATGTTAATTGTTAATTTATAAGAAAGCGCTAGGCTTTGACCAATAAATAAGTATCGATCTATTTCTGATTTAAAGAATGTATTTAAATATTTCTTAATCTTTAATGATATTAATCACTTATTTTTTAAGGCGCTTAAACATTCATCTAAATAGTCAAAATAGAATACTTTTTCTTTGTTTCATCCATTAGTTATTTGAGTCAATCTTTAAAGCTTTTTCATAAATATTAAAGCTTCTTTATATTAACTCTAATCATGTAAACACGCACCTATTAATTATCATACAATAAACCTTTTATCTTCAAAGAATCAAAATGATTTGGATTAATTTTTAAAGATTGCTCTATCACTTTCATAGCTTCTTTATACTTTTTCAGTAATCTTAATGAATTACCTAAAATTAGAATCAAAGAGTACCTTTAATATATAATGAACTGCAATGCTTTTGATCCACTTATAAGGCTTTATCTGCCCAAATGATTGCTTCATCATATTAACCAAGCCCCCTTAAGCTCTCCGCTGTACATTGAATCTAATCATACCTTTGGTGCATAATGAATCGCGCAACTTTGGATTTAATTGCAAAGCTTTATCTGCCCAAATAACTGCTTCATCATATTATCCAAGAATCCTTAAACTGTCCGCTAATCATCTAAAATAATTCATACCTTTAGTAGATATTGAATTGAAATGGTTTGGATCTTCTAACAAAGCTCTATCAGCCCAAAGAATTGCTTCGTGATATTAACCGACCAACCTTAAAATGTCAGCTAATACATTAAATTTCACACTACCTTTACTATATAATGAGTTGCAATGCCTTGGATCAACCTGCAAAGCTTTATCGACCCAAATGGTAGCTTCATTATATTAGCCAAGAATCCTTAAACTGTCCGCTAAGATATTCAATTTATCAAACCTTTACACCATAATGATAATTAATGCTTTTAATTGAAATTTAATGCTTAATCAAATAAGTTAATAGCCTGATCAAATTATTTATCTTTCCAATATAGGTTATATCCTAAATTATTAAATTAATACCTTATTAATACAATTCTTCTGATTTTACAAGATTAATTTTCGAAATTTTATAGTAATTTAATTGAGTTAAACCTAATTCAATTTGAATCTCTTTCATCACATCTTTAATTTTCAATATAAATTGTTATAATAGCTATTGGATATAGAGTTCAAATCATTTGAACTGTATACTTTGTTATATGAAAGAATCAATTTCATCAAAATTTAAGGTAAGAAATTATATTTTCGACATCTAGTATTTAGATCTAATTCCTCCAATTAATAATGAGTAAAATTGATAAATATAATCCATTTTTGCATTTGCACCATTAATGATATTATCAGATTGTTTTTTAACTTATTCTATATGTTCAAATAAAAACGACAACTCTTATAAATTTTGAGGATGAGAAAAATGCCTTCCACTTTGCACACATTCATGACAACATAATCTCTACTCTCTACAAAATTCATTAAAGCACACTTAGTTCACATTCTTTGTATGCTATGGATTTGGGCATTTCATAACGAAATCCTCAAATTATTTCATAATTACTTTAATTAATATATTTGTTCCTAATCTCTGATAAAATATTTTTATTTTAAAAATGATTTTAAATTTTATATAATCTTCTTAAGTAATTCACAACTCTTTTATTCCTTTGATTTATTAATAAATTAAATCATGTTGTTAAAAAGGGTTCCAAATTTTATTATGGTTGATCTTTAAAGAAAAATAAAATCAAGATTATTTAAATAGATAATTTACGAATCGAAATTAAAGAGATGAGAATCTTAGGTCAATAAATTTCAAATATTTTATTGGCTAGATACAAATTAATATTGGAGACATATATTTATATTATCACTTTTATGGAATTTAGCATAATTGAAATTTAATTGTTCTTCTCACCATCATTTTTAAATCAGTATACATCAATCTATTTCATTTTTGGATTAAAAAAATATTGTGAAAATAATTACTCTATTAGCTGTGGAAGGATACTCCCGTTCAACAATATATTTGGATTTTTATTAAATTAATACGATTATTCCAAAGTCTATATTTTCGTTTGATTAATTATATATTTAAATAATCCTAATTAATTTTTCCTTTAAAGATCATTATAAATTTAAAACTGTTTAATGCATGCAAAATTTTCATAAGCTAGTTTAGTTTAATAAAATAGGTAGATATTTAATCATTTGAAATTTTAAAGGTTGAATTTTCATTTCTTTGTTAAATCTAATGATTATTCCATTTTTGTTAATTTTATTTAAATAATAGTATGATACTTTTTTGATATATTTATTATTTAACAAATATATAGAACTCATCTATTCATTTTTGAAAAATTTGTTTTCCACTCTAAAGATATTTATTAAATTCTAAAATAAAAATTCTACATCCAATTAAGAATATCATTTTAAAAGTAAAGGAAATATTAATCACATTGCTGATCATTTACTTTCTTTCCTTAATTCTATAGGAAAATTTTTATTGATTATTATTTATAATTAATTTACATTTCTTTGAAATTAAGGACTATTATCGAAAATATGTCATAGAGATAAAAAGAAGGTTTCATTATTTTAATTACCAAAACACTAAACTACAATTTTCTTGAACAATCCATTTATACTTTTTGTTCCATCATTTGGCCTTTCTAGTCCCCATAATTTTGACATTTATATTATTTTGATTTGTCTCGTTTTTATATTGGTAAACAAAATTAGCTTAACTTAATTGAATATGAATCAAAGTAAAGGCCTTAAATATTCTAGCTAAGAAAAAGGATATATGCTTTTGGCTAAGAAGGATTCAATTTGAATGTATTTTATAATGATTAGATAAACTAATTACTCATATAGTATAAATAAATCTCCAAAATTGAAAAATTTTAATAAAGAGCTTTAACAAAGGCCTACTCTTAAAGGAGGTACTTCCTTTATCAATTGAAAATCTAAATAAAATTAGATCTAAAGAGAAACAGAATAAAAGAATTGAATTGGGAAAAAAGAGAAGATATAGCTCTCTTAAAACCTGAATCTCAGATAAACAAGAATATATGAAAAAAATTTTCAATTTCAGATTCACTTTGTGAAAACATTAATTAAATTGTTAAATCAAAAATTCAAGGTTTAAAGAAATGTTCAAATCATAGATCACAAAAAAATGTAGTTTCAGTGAATAATACTTTCGTAAGGAATATTATTGTTTTTAAATTTTGATTAATTTCCTAGTGAGTTCAAAATATTTAAAAAATAGTTATATTCAACAAATTACTATTTGTAAAAAAATTTCATTCTGCTTAATATGTCACTTTACAACTCTTTATCTATTTGAATCTTTCATAATCCCTCGACTTTCTAGGATCTTAATTATTGATATAGAACTTAAACAGTATTATTAATCATCTAGTTTATATCATAATCTCAGAAATTGTCCTTTATAAAAATTCTATTTGTATTTGTTTTGAAATGGCTATATTTAATAGATAATTACACTAAATCTAAATGATGATCTTTTGAAAGAATGAATCAACTTTAATAAAAGGGAAATTCAAAATAATCAAAAATTAATGAGTGCTTTATCATACGAATTGCAGAAAGAAAAATAATTTGTCTATCATTGATAATATTTTTTAAAATTTAAAATGTCAAGAAAAGTTACACTTCTGGTTCCAAGAGAAACAGTTCTTCTTAGGGGCAATTTCTATCGACATCCCCCCAAAGAAGTGGCTACGAGGATTCTCTTGCAGTAGAATGCCTTAGACGGGCTTTCTTAGACAAAGGGGAATTGGAGGACCCCATTTTAAAAGTCTTATTCATTGAAGGCTCAAAACCTAAACAAGGAGAGACGGAAATGGACCTAGCTTTCAAGAGATTAAGAAGCTGCTGGTTAGAGAAGGAAGAAAGGTCGTAAGGAGTGAGAAAGGTGCTGAGAATAAAAATGTTGGAGAAGGGACTTAAAGTGGATATTAACCCCAAATTGGCCAAATAACAAAAGATGAAGGCCCCTCTCAATATCACTCCCAAAATAATGGATCAAAAAGGCTGGAAGAGAAAGAAATTTTTTAAAAGATTTTCAAATGGATTTTTCAGGAGTGACCAGATTCTATCAGAAACGACAATCAGAATTTAAAAGAATGGTTACATAAACACATTATCGGGAATGGTATAGGCAAGGATGATAGTACATAAGTGGGACTCATTCTCGGATAGAGACACCATAATATTTGGAGATGTAATGTCCAAGAGAATCTTCCATTTTTTTGTGGAAGATTTGGATTTATTACATGATGTATTCCTCCATAAATCATAGGTAGATAACCTTGTATCGTTTTACTAGGATGTGGACAGAGATGAGATTTAGTTAATTTAACAGGATTGGTCTGATTATATTTGCGCGGCGAGAGGATCATACAGAAAGGTGTTAGGAAGGTAGATAAACAAAAGTCGTGAAGCTAACCCAAGGAGAAATATAATAAAATATTTAGGTAGCTAGAAAGGAATATGGCAGCTGGAAAAGCGGAAGGAGAACCTATAGTAGAGGAGAGATTGTCAGACGCCGAATCAGTCCGAAGCTAACAAATGTTTAGAAAGATGAAGATTGACCCCCAAAGTGGGATTGTTATTAAACAAAAAAGTCTTGTACATAAGGAACTAATTGAGATCAAAGGAATGGAGAATGTTCTGAATTAAATCAGTTAAGCTTCGGAGAAGGAAGGGAGAGGTGTTGAATTGATCCAGAGGAACTTTTTTACGGTGGGACTTCATAGCTTTGTGGAATAAATTGGATGTACAAATACCTGAAACATTTTTATTAAGTTGAACTGGAGATTCTTGGAGTTATCGAAACGCCAGATGGAGACTTAGTACTTATAAGAGAGAGAAGAGATGGTTGAGGGAATTAAGAACCAAATTAATTGTAAAATAGAAGTTTGAAGAACTGCCGACTGGAAGCCTAAATGAACTAGATCAAGAGTTTAGAGGATTACCATCCACAATAGACTTTCTGTATATTGGAACAGACATTCAAGTATTTTTCAAGGAGAACCTTTAACCATGTATATATTGGTGATAAGGATGGAAATGTAACCAAGGGCGAAGCTATTTTGGAGATAGATTAGAGATGATGAGAATATTGTGATTTGGAAACTTATCATGGATAAATTTGCGGAATGCAGACACGAAGAGAAGAGATATGGATTAGTAAGGATCAGTTTAGATGACATAATGCCTGCCCGCTATGCTGGCATAGCTTTAACTGGAGCACATCTTCAAACACTCCTGTCCAACAAGTCTGGACCTGAACTTCCAAAGGGCCGTCCAGAATGATAGATTATTCAACATCATTATTATTATTTGTCTACCATTTAACTATAGATTTGATACAAATCGTAATGACCAAATACAGCAAAATAATATTGTTTATAACATCTATTATCCAAGTGTTTTTCAAATAGTAAAGCCTTTATTTAAATATCTTTAAATTAGAAGGAATAGATAGAAGGAAATTTTTTTTTCTCGATTTAATTTTAGTGGTGATTTAATTCATTATTATTTGAGAACTTGAATAAAATTTTCTAAAAGTATTTAAATAGCCATTACTTATTATTAAATTCCTTAAAATTCAAATCTTTAAATGCTGCAATCTATTTTAGCGATGACTTATAATAAAATAATTTTTGGTTGAAACAGTTTATTACCTTTTGAAAATTACCTTCATATTTATTAACCTCATCTTATATACCATTAGGGCTTCAAAAAATTAGAATATTATTCATTTAGTTTAAAAAATTATAATCAAAGTGTTATTTAATACCTTTTTCTTTCATTATTTAATCTTGCTAGCTTGATTGTATAGCCACATTATGTTGCATGCTGCTTTAATATTAAAAAAT